CAACTCTAAACAGATAAGTGTCTGCTTGGTCAACAGTCGTACAAATTTGGGGTTAAATCAATAATAATATTGAATATACATATACATATGACTTTTGTTCTCTATCAATGATTCTATTATCTATGCACGAGGATTTGCACACTCCATTTTATTCTCAAGATAATCTTGTGAGTTGAGGCCACCATTTTTCTTGGGTTAGAGGCGCAATCTGACCTCCAACTTTGAAATGGATAGTGTTTTTCGATAGAGCTTTATCTAAGGTTGTAAAATCTGAAAATCTTTCATGATTTGCCTTTAAGTACTTGGTAGAAGAGTAGATAGAAGAGGGAATGATACGAGAGTAATTTTTTCTTCTCTTTTTTGGGGAAAAAATTTCTAGGGGATGTTCTCGTGGTTTTTTCTGCTTGATTGATAGATCATGTGACTGATTTGCATTCACAAAAACCAAGCAAGTTTTCATACCTCAATTTGCTGTTCTTTCTTGTGAAAAATCGGCAAAAACAATTAAAATCTGGGAAGATATGTAATTTTTTTAATGCTTAATGTTTATTAGGGTGATTTAAGAATTCAGAATTGCTTTAGAAAAACTTTGATTAAAAACTCTCTCATAAGCTCAGGTTTCTAATTCAACAAGTCCCCGATATTTTGTTACAAGTGACTGATTAACTAAGAAAACAAGCAAATCTGAATTATTCAAGACATTTCCTATCTTTAAAGTAAAAAGGCTACTTTGAAACAAACAAAATACAGCTTTTCTTGAGGAAAGCTAGTGATTTGATGACAATTTTTTGATGAAAACTAGAGAATAATCAAAAAGTAAAGGAACGCGAATCGTAAAATGAAAAATAAGCAAACAGACACAAAAGGATACAGCAAACCCTAGAGACACAGTTTATCCAATAGTTTTTTGAGTCTTTAAACTTTGAAACTTATAAATGCACTATTTGATTTATTCATTTTAAAATTTTAAACCAAACGTTGACTAGAACCAGTGATCTTTGATCAAGTTAGCAAATCTATTCCTGAAAATTGCGAATAGAGCAAAACAAGTACCAAAACCGTTGGGAAATGCCTCACTTGGTGGCACATTGACAGAATTTCAAATACTGAAAAAATAGCTGCAAGTGCACTGAGGTACAAGATAAATTGCACAGAAAACGTGAATAGAAATATGTATAAAAGAAGAAGCTAAATTAGAGGTGCAAAAAATGCGCCTCTCTGACGAAAATAGATTAGCTGTTGGTGATGGCAGAAACCTGAAGAGTTTGCGATACTCTCGCTTTTACAATTCTTTTTTGACATGTGATGCTTGAAATGTGAAAAAATTTCTTTCCTAACCGAGGCACTGTCAGCAAGTAGGGTTTTCATAGATTGCCATCATTGTTTATTGTACTGATTTGTTCTTTTGAAAAAAAAAAAAAAAAAAAAAACTTGAAAAAGGCTATGAAAGCAATATTTAAAAAGAAAAAAAGATGAAATTATAAAAATAGCGAGAAAAAATTGCTGATAATGATGACAATTGGTTTTTTCCTCTTATTTAGATTGGATTTAACTTAAAATTAATTTTAGCTAACTTTTCTTGAAAAGAATAAGTCAAAATTTCATTAACAGAAGAGAAGATAAACCTGAAGGATGTAATGGAAAAGTGGATGGATCCTCGATGAAGGCAGCTTATGTAAACTGAACAGGAAAAACAAGCATATATAAAATGGAGAAAAAATATTGCTTTCATACAGATCTAAAGGGCGATAAAACATTTTTAGAATCGTAACTTTTAAACCGGTGTTACCTAATTACGTAATGTAATGGTAGTGCTCAAAGATTCTATCGAAAATTTGATTGATGACACTGGAGAATCTTGACATTAGTACATAGGAAACACTTTCTTCAAATATTACAAATGATTCACAAGAATCTTATTGCACACATGATAAACATAAGCATAAATGCATGGAACTATCACAATTCAAATTTGATGAAATTAGTAGACCTGATTTTATGAAGGAATGCTTACTTTTTAAGCACAAAAAAAGAGAACGTTGCATGAAAAATGAGAAAATTTGGACAGCATCAACGTCTTAGTGATGATAGAGAGTACTTAGTTTTTAAAGTGATTATTTAATTTTCATGTATGCTCAAAACATTGAAACTTTTATTAACAGGAGAACTTGCTAAAGTAACGTTGATACAAAAACACTGAAAAATTACTACATATTGCCCCCTCCCCCCCCCAAAAAAAAACATGAAAGGAAGTTATACACAGGTCTATGCTTCAAAACCTTTTCACTGCAAAACCTTGCACTGCGCTTACCTTGCGATACAACTTTAACTCTGAGTGTGTTTAAAATATCAGGTCAAGAGAGAATAATGCAGCAATATATTTTGTAACAACTTTGAAAGTACTCTTTGAATATTTTTTAAATTTTTTAGTTGGTAAATTTGCCATCCCTACAGAAAAAATTTCGACTTAAAAAGTGACTTAAATTTTCTCAACTCTTAATTCCAGTGACCAAAGCTTTCAGAGGGCCTAGTTGAAAATCAGTATTTTTCTTAGATTTTTAAGCCTCAAAGGTGTATATTCAAGATGCTAAAGAAGAAATAATAAGACTCTGATACAAACAGGCTTTTTCAGTTACAAGCAGGTTTTCAAAGCATAGGATTTAAACATCAAAATTAGGAATCAAAATCAAGCGAGAATTGTTGTCAAAAAATTTGTTCTGATGCTTGCATAGTTTTAGGCTAAAATTAACTTTTCATTTTATGTTCAGAAACATAAAGAATGTGTCTATTGTTTGATTCATAGAACGAGGGTTTGATCGTTAAATATCGCATGAATTAGCACAAGGTGAAAACATTTTTTCTAGACTCCCTACTCACAAAGTTTCTGTGCCCAAAGGTAATGAAGATTATGCTTGGGAATTCAGGGTCCATGATATCATCCACCAACATTCAAAAACGCAATTCATTGATGCAAGGGACTAACTCATTACCTCCTTGTGGTCTTATTATGAAAAAAACAAATCTTATTTTCAACAAGGCTATTGCTAGTTTGAAGTAATTCTAATTTATTATACAATGTAATTTTTGGGAAAAATTTAGGGAAATTGGTGTTTACTTTTCTGGCGTCTGAGACTGTCTTGTCCCTTTAAACTGAATGATGAGGCATAAAATACGCCAGAAATGATGACCAGGACTAAAGTAATTCATATTGATGTTGTACTGATCTACTGAGATATAAATGACCATCATTGTGCTAATGAGAATAAAGGAAAGAAAAATTATTGAAGTTGTCTGTGCTCTTCATTAAACTTCATCATTTCTCATAGCAACACTGCTCTCAGTTGCACATACAATGTTGATAAAATGTGTGATTAAAAGACACTTGAGAAATACAAGGATGGGTGTGTAAAACTTACAGAGCCCTGACAAGCTGCAGAAATATTCATTACATTTTATCACAAAAAACGTTGCTGTAGTTTCAGCCAATTCCATTTTAGATTACTCTATCGACAGAGAATAGATACACCAAAAAAAAAAAAAAAAAAAAAAAAAAAAAAATAGATAGATAAAAAAAAAAAAAACTTTAATAAATAAATTAATTAGAGTACATAATAATTAAATTAGGAGCTTACATTATATAAATGCATTGAAGAAAAATTAATTACCAAGCAGGAATGTCTTACACATATCTAACTTTAGCAGTATTCTCTCCATAGAAGCTGCCTGAAAATATTGATTCAACTATCACTTGTGCAATGAAGAGACATGGGAGCATCAAGTTTGGAAACATACAAATTTTAGACATGGCACGATTGTTAAAACAAATTTCCTATCAATACACCAGGAGTTTAAATAGTAGTCCATTTTCACTGACTTGTGTGGAAAAAAAATCAGATAATTTTTAAAGTATTTACAATTTCTTCCAGTTCGACAAACATCGAAAGAGTTCCTTTTTCAAAAAGTAAAAATAAAGGCAGAATTCTCAATTTAATTTGAACTTGTTGCAAACCGATAACCGCCTCTTTTCTCCCTCCTAAAGCAAGCTAATTTAAAGATACTAGTACGATCAAATGGACATATTTATGCTAAAAGGTGCTGTGTCACATGCACATATGCACCCTACTTCCTTTTAGTGTAAATACGTCCAAATGTGACAAATCACTTATACAAATTTCAGCTCCAGAAAAGTATCTACTGAGTCAAAAGAAAATAAATTGCGATTATTTTTAGCAGATGACTTTTAAAATGAAGACACAAATCTTACACCAAACGATTCAACAGATAAAAGTAAAAGTATGAATAAGACAAATTGGTTCTCTGAAGAGTTTCTACAACAAGTTGGACAAGCAAAAAAATGTAAAAATATAATTTTTCATTAAATTTTTTATACCCCAATTCTTGGGTTGGACGACCGAACATTGAAAATTTTAATAAAATCAGACAAATTATCCCTAAACAAGCCCTGCGATACTTCCCATATTACAGGCCAAGTTAAACCTTCACACTGCTTTAGCCTTGACTAAATCCTTAATCAGATTTTTCTGAGGAAGGTGGGAAGAAAGGGGGGTGGGAATATTGTTGTTAGTAAAATATGCATCAAGTGATTCTCTGCCAGTATCCTTAAATTAACAACATATTTAATACAGGCGACAAGTCACTCATACATAAGTCTCTCTAAAATGGTTGCCACAAAGCTGACCAAAGCAGAAGTATATAAATGCCTCAGAAATAAGAGAGAGGGCGTTGACAGTTATTATTGCAAAAATTCAAACCGGTGAAAATGTCTCTAAAGACATAAAAATGGTTCCACAGTCAAATTTTAATTATTTACATTGCTGAGAATGACACTATTTGATAAAGAGCAAAGTAATGATTTGAGATTGGTTTAAATAAATTAAAAGTTAGCCATGGGTCACGAGCATGGTAGCCTTTTTGGCACTTAAAACAAACTACACCCTCCTGTCTCCCTGACAAGCAATAATTCATTAGAAATAAAATGACTTCTGACATTTTTAGCATCATATTGCACACATTTTTTTTCAAACAGTCAAGTCTTTGGGAACAAAAGCTTAGGACTGAAATAAGCTGCTAACTTTGGCCAACAATCATCAAAATTATAATTCCTCAGAGGGTGAGTTACAAATGAAATTATTTAACAACTTGTCTTAAATCCGCTTTCATTAAAGTATTACTGTAATAAAAGGTGAAAAAAAAAACAATAAATCAGACAAGATTTCAGAGAGAATCTAAGATCCTTTAAGAACTGAAAAAAATATTTAACAGAGGGTTCAAGATAAGAAGTGATAAAGCCCGGTGGCAAGGCGTAGATGACCAACTACCTGTCCATATTTTTCCATTTAAAGCTTTGGTGAAAAAATTGATTTGTAAGGTGTACAATGCGAAAACCCTGATGATCGATCCTTCCTTATGAGATTAATCAGCAGGTCAATTGATTCATCGCAGAGCACACCGTGCCATTCCAGGAGCCGTTTTATAGAGGAATCCAAATCCCAACAATTGCAAAATTATTTTAGAGAACAATACTTTCCAGTTGCAATTTCATCGAAATACTAATGAAAACTAAGGTCTGCATTATTGAAGGAGAGGGGTTGTTTGATATTTGGCTTCTTGCCATGAGAATTTTTCTTTGGTCTATGAAAAATATTTTAAAACAAGATAATTCTAAGGTCTCTGGGATCTGATTATAATTTGAGGTAAGAGATCTCTCCTTTGCAGTAGTATAACGAAAAAGAGACAATAATTTTTTGAATAAGGCTTCAACTTCTTAAAAGTCAGAGTACTAGAATTTTTTTTAAAAGAAAAAAAAAGTATTTTACAACAAAAATGAATTCCATTACGCAACTTTGACCTTCCTTGGTCCTCCAATAAAACAGTTAGCAGCTGAGGATATATCTGATAACTTGGGCCTCGGTTGGCAGGAGAGAGTTGGAGGTGAGGGAATCTCTTGAAACAAAAAGAGACAGCATCATACCCGAGTGGGTTTTTGATTCCTTTGAGAATTCAGAGATGACATCCTTCAATATTTCAGAATTTATACATACATTTTATTAATTTAGGTACCTACTTAAACTATGCTTGGATGGCCAAGACGGGTCTCCATACAAATACAGACAATTATTTTGGAAACTAGTCACACACAGAAAGATAGGCAAAAATAAAGCAGATTTAGTTTAAAGATCACCTGCGATTAGTGTAATCATTCATTAAAAAATGCTTGCCAAATGATCGGGCCTTAGGCAGTTTCAATTCCAAGAGTTTCGGTCTTGCATCTTGAATACTTCGTCAGTACTATCAAATTAAACAATGAAAGTTACAGGGATTGGCTTTTAAGTCAGTTACTATTTTTTTTTTCAATGTTATTGAGTAACTGAATTGTTGAAAAAAAATTCAATCAACATTAAAGAATTTATGTATTTTTAAAAAAAATAAGATAACTTAGGGCTCAGAAGCACAGAGAAAAGGGATTCCCAATTTGAAATCTCCATAATTAAGCTTTATAACCCTTTTTTTCTTTACTTTATTTTCATTTTTATCAAAACTCTAATACCATTATTTTCCTTTCGCTTTTTTTTTGTCCAATAAACATCTAAAGATCGAAGATTCTCTCGAATGTAAGACTTAATACCAAATCGTTTAATTTTATTCTTATCAGTCTGCACAAATTAGAGCAAAATGGATGTCAATTGACTCGTGTGAGAAAGCTGCTCCAGTAAGATTATGGGAAAAAAAGACTAAAAGCTTTCAAATCCCAAAAATAAAAACAAAACAAAATGTTAAGTACACATAAATAAACAAGATAAAAACAAACATACTGTCAAATTCGCCCTAGTTCCTTAAGTCTGAAGGTTAGTGTAAATTGAGCATAAACAAAAAAGGCATGAAGCCTCACCTTACAAAAAGAAAAAGAAAAATTAAATTAAATTAAATAACACAGGCAAACTCCACATGTAAGTTACAACCTTACGATTATGTGAATAGTACGAAGATTGTTCTACTTCCATTTCATAACCTACTTATTCTTAGATCATATAGTCCACAGTTTTCGATACCTACATTCCTCTCTTGTTGAAGGTGTTCATACAAAAAGAAAGATAAAAAAAGGGGGAGGAAAAATAAATACAAAATTCTGTGGAAATTGCCTAAGAAAGGATAATCAAGTAGGTACATAGTAAAAGATTATCTTTTTGCTTGAGCATCCTCAAAAATTCCTCGTTCAAATAATATAGTTTAGGGAGGCTGAAACTACTTACAAATCACTTGGCTTTCAAAGTCAATAGTTCTACTGACTGGCACTCAAAATTTGGAAATAAACTTGAACGAAATTTGACGCACATTTTAGAGAATCTTGGAACTGAAAAATTTTGTGATTATTAGACTAGCTTCTGTTGACTCCTTAGAAAATGAATAATTTTCCTGCCAGATATTTTAATAAGGGTTACATAGAGAGGAAAGATAGGTAAGAGAGTAAGAAAAAAAGGGCTCTGATTGGAATTCAACCTTGTACAACTTTGATAAAAAAAAGTAGAGATCAGTTGAATTGGTCAGTTTAAAAAAAAACCTAATGCAGGTTTTTTTTGGCCTCTTAGTTTTTTGCGGAGAAGTTACTTTGAAGATATGCGTATTTCCTGTCAGAGGTATCTTTATTCATATTGGAACAGAGAATGTCCTTGATAGTTAAAAACTTTTGAGTCAAGGTGCTTCCACCAAAACAGTTCTCAAAACAAAGTACACTTAAGGTACATAGCTATCTGACGACGAGTTTTGTGCATGTATTCGGATTCCTTTGATGCTAACAAGCATACAAAATTAGATCTAGGACAAGACCCTTGAAGTAAATTAAAGAGGTAAAATGTTAAAAACAAACAAACAAAATAGAAAACCTGGTTTCCCTTTCTTATTCTAGATTTGATCACTCATTTGATCAATGATCAACGACTCGGAAAATATACAAAGCTGAAAAAAGAAGGCACAAGATTTACAAATGATACAGGTGGCTATTTACACGCAATGTACAGGCATTCTTCTTTGAGAAAAAAATAAACAAATTTGCATATTTTTGAACCTGTCAGGTTCCTAGCACAGAAAATATATTTGGTTGGTTTAAAAGGGATCCTCAGAGGAACGGAATGTCAAACGGAGCATTTTTTGCCACTGTATTGTTTCAAATGACTAGTTAAAAGTGAGGAAAACTTCAGTAATAGTAAATCTCATTGGAAGCATGTACGCACATGATTGGAATACTGAGATAATTTAAATAGCTCGAAAGTCAACGGTTAGTATTTGCCTAATTGATAATTTTGATAAAATCGATACTTTGCTCAACGTCAATGGGCTACTATACAACTTCTGAAATAGATAAAAGAAAGTCATAAGTTTTCCCTTCAAAATCTTACATAGAAAACGATTCACACAGCAGGAAGTTCAAAAATCAATTCCTGAATAAGATATTAATACATATTTTAGACACAGATCAAATAGAAGCTAGATGATACAAATAACATCATTTGAATTTTTGCCATTTAACCAATGTTAATTGTAAACACTTACACTTTGTTTAGTTGATTTCTACACTTTCCGTTGTGTGATTAATTTTCCTTGAGAAATTTTGAAGAAAGAACATGCTGTATAGTGGTTTAAATTCACACCTTGTCTTATTTTCCTCTCGTCTCCTCAAATTTTTGAATGCAAAATACACATGTCAAATACATGCAGTTCAAGATTTTGTCTTCTCATATTATTTTTCGAAGAGCTTTTTGAAAAAATATTGTTCGCTCCTTTGACACACAAATATCTACAGATATTTGGAGGAGTTCTGATGAGGTTAGACTCCAATACACTCTAAACTTTCATTCAATGAAGTTCCCTGACTGTTAAAGATTATATTAGATTTACGCACAACAATTCTTTTCATTTCCTTGGACTTTCCGTACTTTTTCCGGGCAAACCAAAAAAATCAAGTATTATTCTTTGCAAAGTTTCTTTTGTATCACTGAAACATCTTGGCTCTCCAAAAAAAATGCATTGCCTGTTTTGATTAGATGTTTGATTGCACAGTTTCTGGAGTGAGGTATGAGTGAGGTATCAAGAAAATCATCAGAAAAAATTCTAGCAATCAAGATCCAATCTAAAAACTGACCAGCAAAATTTGTGAGGAGAATAACATCATTTGTAACAGGAACCATCTCAAGGGAAGAAATATTTAACAAAAGGTTCATAGTTTAAGACGCTATTATGAAGCTCATTTTTATTGTCTTGTTAACATGGTTTCATCCCCATGTGTTTGAAGACATGGCTCATTAAATAAAGATAATATATGGGATGAGGGAAATAATCTACACTTAATTGGACATATTTAAATAAAAAGGAGCTATTCCCATTGTGACATGGGCCCTGGGGCCTATAAGAGTACATGCATAACAGGGCCCATGTCTCAACGGCAATGGTTCCTTTTGATTTAGATAAGTTAAAGTAGAATTACATAGAATAAAAGCTAATGAGCCAGGAGTTGTGATACAGATCTAAGTTGAGGAAATGAAAAAAATGACTAGCACTTTGACAGATCTCCTCATCAACCAACATTTTTAAACAGCACCAGTGTTGCCAGAGCTTTAACTAAGGTAAGAATTCTACAGCGGCAAAGAAAGCTTCGGTAAAACAGTGCACGATTATCATAATTTTCAAAAATCAATCAACGATGCACTATGAATACAATTTGACTAACAAATAATGAGGGCTGTTTAATCAACTAACATGATGCAATGCAAAATTCGGATGAATATTTTAGCAAATCAATGTTACAGGAATAAAAATCTGTGGAAAAATTCTTAGATAGTTTAGATGTATGAATGGTTTAGAAGCAGGTGATAATTTGCTTTGCTAGATTATGATACAGATTTTTCATACCCGTTCATTTGCATTTGCCGCAACTGGACCGATCTTGATTCAGTTTGTCATGGGAATGGATGAGACACTTCTCACTTACTGTGGAAAAAATAAAAAACCATATTAATGATTGAAAATTTTAATTACTATCGTTATTTAATTAAAGATTCAGAGATAAAAAAAGCATACAGCTTGGGCTTATCAGTAATGACACTCCTTCATACAGTGTTTGCAATGGTTTTATTTGACACTTCGAGTGCCACAGACAAAAATACACCTCACCTAAGTTCAGTCTGCGGCATGGTTAACATACCTAAGTCTCTCTTAGATTTGAAGCACGCTTTTGCTAATACACTAAAATGGCCAGCTAAAAAAGGCGCTAAAACCCAAAAAGCTGAGGAACGTACTACCAGTAAGTTTTTAGAATGCTATTGGTCAAAACAGCGGATTAATTATTTTCTCGAAGTTTGAGAGCTTTACCACCGAAAATTTGAAGTGGGGTTTCTTATTTAAACCTTGAATCAATCAATCAGCATTGCATAGATTTGCATCGGATGCTGTATTGGATCACTGATCAGACTAAGCTAGAAAAAACCATGGCGTGCCCTACAGCAGTAGATGATGTTGATAACTTTTTTACTAAAGGGAGATTTTCCGTTTATGATATACTAAGGAATTTTATTTTTGAACAGATATCTGTAAATCTCATAAACCTGTAAGTTAAAACAATCATCAAAAACCATTTAAGTACTCAGTCGCAACTGTTATCATCAAAAACCACATAGATGATCAGTTGCAATTGTCTACTTGATTGTGCTGGGGATGCTGAAGAGGAATTTCAATGAAATATTAATATCAATTTACGCTTGAGTTTTTTAAGAGATTTTTTAACTGTTTCTTGAGCGTTTTCCATGGTTACTTTTGAACAATTATGCTACATTTCTATGACTTGAGTGACTAACTGATGCAAACTGACAAGCATGTATCATCTTTGGAGCGTTTCGAACTTACTGCTCCTTTCTTATTTTTTGAAGAGAAACAAACCAATTTAATGGCTTGAAATTTATGCGGGATATTCTGCTAACAGAGAAGAAAAATCAAGTAAGTTTCCAAGAAATTATTTTGAATCATTTTCCAGAGAAAAAATAAATGAGGAACGGGGAGTCTGGAGGGTTGCAAACGGATATACGAGGTTTCGAACTTCAGCTATCAATGTATTGTAGGCGGGTAATAATGTCACTGGGAAAAATCCTCTTGATGGTTGAGCCGAGTTATCATCCTCACTGTACACGCATGGATCGTACAGTTAAGAATAGGGTGATTTAAGAGTCTTGAAATCTTTTTTTATGTGGTCTGATGAAGGTAAAATATGCAGATGGATTACTGTGCGAATTCAATTGGCAAATTCCTTCATGAATAAAATTCTGAATTTGAATGCAAAACGAGTTAATTAATTAGAGAACTGAGAAGCTCACCGTCTTAGCTACGACAAGAACTCGCGTTCCAATTCACTAATTGAGGGGCGACGTGCTCGATTGGACTCGTATTGTCGGTTAAGTCGCCTGGATGCCTGGAGCGGTATAGTGCTGTCCTGAACCTGGCCATGGATTGGAAGGTCAAGCAACGTTGCTTCTGTCATAGTTGCTGTGATGGGCGAGAACCGGACACGCGATACAGAGCTTGTTGAGTTCTCCTTGGCAGACACATAGCTGCTGTCTTCACTGGTCAGACTGTCGGGGGGAGTTGGATTCGTAGGCGTACCTAAGAACAACAAAATCAAGTCAAGGATTTTCGACACTGGATTTCCAAGATGGACCCTAACTCCTCAACGGCTCCCCGTGCCTCACTATTTGCGCTTAAATTAAAATAATGCAAACAATGAACCTTGAGAGGGCCATGGACTTCATTTCTATTGGGGTTTTTGAGCAATGAACTACATACTAAACTAGGCACAAATGGACCGCGTTTAACAGAAAGGAACCAAGCCACATCAGCTATTGCCAAATTTCACCGGGCAAGTTAATTTTTTACGAGAGAACATTTGTGCGGATTCCTTTGGAAATTTTAAGGAATTTGCGTCGTACTATGGAGAAAATTCATAAAATTTGCACGAAAATCCGCCCGACCGTTTTCATGTAAAAAATTATTTCGTCCAATTAGATTTGGCAATAGCTGATGTGGCTTGGTTCCTTTCTGTTAAACACGGTCCAAATTGAAGCATTCCAATAAATGCTCACCCTTTAAAAATTCCATGTAAGAATTTGATTTAAAAGACGAAAATTAATGGCATTCACTCCCAACTAAAATATTTAAGTTCTTATCCAGCATTGCTTATGAAAAATTTTAATTTCCTGCATACATGAGAACCAAAGCCTGCTTGAAAGAAATCGCACACTACAACAGCTTTGGTAGGCTTTTCAATTGAGTGGCGTTCCTTCCCCACCCTGTGTTGTCAAAAGTATAAATAGCATGCGATAGCTAAACTGAAGCGCCAAGATTGAGGCCGACATATTTTCAAACAGCGAAGACTAGCACAAAAACGTTAAAGAAACAATTTAATGAGTGGAAAGTTTGGGTTTATCCATGCATAAATGTCTTGGTTAGAAGTTACTTCCAGTAATTTTTTAAGAACAAATCGTTTTCCAGGGGAAATTTTGGTGAGTAGAATAAGTAATAATTAGAGTAGGGCCGGATTCTGGATGTCCAGCTCCGGCCGGATACGATTTTCGCGGATATCCGTATCCGGCCGGATAATTGCGATATCTGGTTTTTGGACCCGCCGGGTAGTGCTTTTACGGCCGTGAAAATTTCGAGAAATTGTTGGTGATATTTTGGCATTTTTCGGCGCACTTTGAGTAGTCAATGTAATTGTTCAACTTTTTGAAACTTAATATCATTGGAATTAAGGACATTTCCCGTACATTTACACGATTGCAACGTGACCCTTAATTCCGAAATTCACAGCGTCAAAGCGCTATACGCAGTACGCAGCTTGTTATTGCAGCATCAAAGCGCTGTTTTCCACTTTTGTCTTGTTTAGGCACACTTCTAATAATATCTCTCTCTGCACATCAGATTCATCTGGTCCATCACACCATGAAGCCAATGAAAGCCATGCTGCTTATCTGCCAGGTCTTTTCTTTTAGTATTCGCCTTTTAGCGGGCTGACTCATTGGGTATCATTGAAAAATATGGAGGTTGCCAGACCGAGGGCACATACATCATGGATGACGGTCTTGATGGTGTAATACGCAGTGTGCCTCTTGTCCCAAGCATGAAATAAGGAGATTTTTCTCACGCAAAAAAGCACTATCCAGATCTGATATTATCCGGATCTGGTATTATCCAGTTTCAGCCGAATACCTTGGCGAATTATCCAGTATCCAGCTCCGGCCGGATACAAGAAATCAATATCCGTACCCGGATCCAGTGATGCGGAAAATCCGTTTCGGCCCAACTCTAGTCATAAAGCTTAAATTTGCACCTTGCTTAGTGGTCCATTAATTGCCATAAAGGAATTGAAATTAATTCTGACCTCCCAAAAATTGATTGCATCCTTCCTTAGGGTGCTCAAATAAAGGTCGTTGGAGGAAATCAATTTTGCAAAAACATCTGGCGGAAACAAAACCTCAAAGAATGTTCTCCTCTCCATCACTGAAATTATTCTGAAATGGCCATGTTATCATCAGTTCATTTATGTACTTCAGTTTTCAATTACCTGGTCCAGAGGATGATGAGCCAGTGTTTGGTTGCCGGTTGTGCCTCTTCAAACTTGAGCGGAGCCTGGTTGTTGAAACTTCCAGTGTTGTAGGCCTATCTGAACTGTTGGAGTCGATGGAATTCTGGCGGGAAAAGTAGCTAGAATAATCTCCGGCTCTTCGCACGTTCCCTGTCTCGAGGTATGCTGGGTAAGGGTGGTTATGGTTATAGAACTCTGAGTCATCTGCTTCGAGTCGAAAGCCTGGGTTGACATTGGAGCCACTGGAGGCGTTGGAAACATTGGACGGTGTGCGACGGTGGGTAGGTCTACGGACAGGCGTGATGTTGGGGTTGTCATATGCATATGGCTGGTAGTATGGATCATCCTGGAGGGCAGGTGCTGGGTAGAGTCGTTCGGGGTAATGACTAGGATATTCAGGGGGGTAGTGATGGAAACCTGGAAGAAATACAGGAACAAATCTTCAATTTTTCATTGATCTGAAAGTCAATATTTATTGCTTCATTATGTATTTTATCATTTTATAGGTAAGTCAGACCGAACTTAAGTTATAATGATTTGAGTTTTGCATCGTACTTTTGAAGAAACGTTACATAAAGTTTTAATTTGGTACACTTGGAGCTCAGGATAATAAACAATGCACTTTCAGGACTTTAATTGGCAAAAATAACCACAAAAGTCGCTTACAACTAATTTCATGGGATACTACAGTGTTTTTTGCCAATACATCAAATTCACATTTCTCGACCCTTATTGAAAAAAATCGCCCTCTTGGCAAATTTGCTTGTGAATAAATGTGTGTTACCTAATGGACAGATGCTTACTAAAACAAACATACAGACCTAACTGCATGAAAGCGACTATTCTAAAATAGGAAATAAAAAAACTAAGTGAAACTTGATGGTGACAAAAGCTACACCATAAAACAAAATAAAGCTTTCTTCAATTGAACTGCTCAGTATTAAAAAATAACATGGCCATTAAATGATGAGCTGTAAAGTAAAGGAACTTATGGACTAAAGACTCAACAGAAAATGAACGCACTTAATACTTTTTAAGATCAGAGTTTCATTTATTAACTCCTTTTTTTTACTTCTGCTGGGTGCTGCTTCAATATGATGATTAATAGTGAAACTATGAGAGGAGGAAATAATGCTAACCTGACGATAACTGGTGATCACTAAGCACAGGATTGTGATAATACTCTGTGCGTGAAGGGTATCGACGTGGACTTTCGTAGTTCCTTGTTTCTAAAACATCACAGGCAGCATAGGGGGCAGGAGGAGGAGGATAGTGAACCTGAAACAAACATTGAAATTTATTCGTTTGATTTTATGTTTTTATGTAAAAGATTCATAATCTTTTGAAAATGATTCCTGATATATTTGGCGTCACATTAATATCTTTCATTTAAAATGACAAACTTCAACTGCCAGTATAAAAATTGAATGGATTTCTCCCTGAGGATACGAGACCACAGCTATTGAAACAGTTGCACAGCTATAGAACTCCACAGATGCAGAGATTTCAGCCGAATGGATGCCAACCATTTTTACAAAAAGTTTGAACTTTACAAAGCCCATTGATAAAAGCTGAATTAAGCAGTGGAAAAGATGTTTTTCATGATTGTAGTATAGTTTTTCTTCCTTTCGTGGAAAGATAAAATAGTTCATTAAAAAGTTGGAAAAAGCATTCCTAAGCGGAAAAAACTAATTAAAATCCTACCAATGAGAAGCTGACAGCTAAGTTGATGCAGCAGGGAGATGCCTGAAGCTAGGTTCAGCCAATGAGCAAATGCTGGTTCCCCTGCTGGCTAACCCATCAGAGCCAGCCAAAGATATCTTTTCAAACCAGTCTCATTTTCGGCGATTTTAAAACGGGTTTTCTTTGACATTTCTGATTAAAAAAATTTGAAAAAATTCCTAGAAGCTTAGTTTAATCAGTACTATCAGAAAATGAACTGAAAAATGGGTGCTGTTGATCCACTGGCCAAAGTTTGAACAGGCTCAGTTCTTTGTTAGCTTAATATTCAGTTTATGAACAAAGAGACACAACAAAAGAAAACACAAAAATGTATTTTCTTCTGAGAATACACTATAAATAGGAAGCCAAGGCTAAAAACAAACAGAACCTCTCTTTCTTCTTATCAAAAATGGGGGTCTGAGGGGTTTTTTGATTTTTATATTTTTGATTCCTGGTCGAGAAGGGGGCCCCAAGGAGGCTGAAGTCCCCCCGAAACGTCCCAGGTATTCTGTTTGATTTTTTCTGTTTGATTTTAGCCTTGGTTTCCCATTTTCTTGTGTTTTGTTTTGTTGAATTATTCCAACTGTTTTTACGTATCATTCCAAAAGACACATTGACCTACCTCTCCTTCTATACTCGTACAACTAGACTTCCTCCGGGGAACAGGGTTTGGTTTCAATGAGGGATAATGTTGTGGCGAGTCCGTAAACCTAAGAGGCTTCGCAGCTTCAATACTATGTAGAAGCGGGGTGCGGTAGTGTTTGGTTGGCCCATGGTAAGTATTGTAACCAGAACTAGAGGAAAATTCAGGGGGCGAGTACTCACTTCCGCCCCATTTCTTTTCATCCTCTACAGCGTCACCTCTGAAAATAAGGAATAAGTTTATCACTCTAATTTTTCGTTAAAATTTATAACTTAAGATTAAATCACTATTCAAAGCTTCCAGTAAAAGCACATGAAAATGAATATAAAAAATTATAAATTCCCTCCATCTTTTAGTACAATGCCTGCTGCGACATTTTAGAAACTTTTTCCCCCAGTACTGAGGCACCCCCCTCCCAAATAAAACATAAAATCTCAGTGGTGCAAGCGATGCCGTTTCAATAATGTCTAAATATTCTCCAAAACTTTGCAATACTGAAAGGGAGAATGCCGCAATTACGAAACAACAATACATGCAAGACAGAAGGCTATATTTCAAAAGGATTTTATGAGACTATTAAAGGTCAAACTTCGCAGTAAGTGGGGTAAGTAATACTTTTCCCACCTGCATCTTGCTTTTTACTGTGTTGCACTACTGTTACTGCGACTTCTTTTGTTAGTATCACCATGCGGCATGTTAGAAAATGATTGCATCAATAATTTACTCACATTTACTCTCAATATTTTAAGGCAATATTCCTTAAAAATATCGCTTCCTGACTAAAAAGAAAACCGTAAGAGCATTTTTGCTACTTCTTGGGTGAACCTCTTGGTGTTTATCTCGTTGTACCTATTGAAAGACAGATTTTGCGAGAATTTACCTCCAGCTGGGCTGTAGCTTGGGATGAAGTGGTGTGACATTTGATAACCTAACATCATAGCCAGCAGCAAGACCGGCCAACATGGCAGCCATATTGTAGAGAGCCAATTCCATCAAAGATGGTTTTGATCCTGACTTAGAGCTCTTTGGTTGGGCCTCTGTCGGCGAACCATTGAATAAAGTTGGCAGTGGCACTGCTTCACCAGACCAGTCTGTCGATTCTGCACGACTACCATAATACCCTGAGAAAAAGAGATATTTTTTTATATTTTCACCAAAATGTTTAGCAGACAAAGAAATGATCCACAAATCAGGCACAAAAAGTTCTTAATTTTGTGTAAAATATCCAATGTTGGGGATAAATATTCAGTAAAAAGGCTTGCCTTCACAGGCCGATTATCAAAATTGTCAAGTTCTTTTTAGAGTGAGATAAGACTGAACTGGAAATATGATTGGTCCATAGAGAGTAGCCAAAGTGCTGAAATGCGTCTAACTTTAATCAAAAGTACACAAGTGAGTTTGAATATGATTTTAATCATACTTCAATCAAGTAAATACTGTTGCAATTAAATTTGGTCAAAAATAGATTTCAAAAATCTTCTTGCAGGAGTAAATTCTACAGAATTCTACACTTAAAAGGAAAAAATACCCAACAATTTTGTTGAAATTGTTAAATTCAGGGTCTGTCAGCAAGTAAAGAGCATAACACTGACCAAAATTTGGAAACAGACAGATGAATGCAAACTTGAAAATTGAAAAAAGTAAACAATGAAAATATTGATGGTTAGAAGATAGACTTTGATGTGCCAAAACAAAAGTTATCCCCTGGGTTGAATCTCCTAAGGAGAGAGCGAAAACTTTCAAAGTTTTTCTACGCTACGATATAATGAGTAAACACTGTGAAATCAAATGCATAGACAAGCAAGCAAACTACTAATTACTGTAACACAAGCATTGACACAATGTAAAGGGTGAATAAAATGAATATTTCTTTAAAAATTACGCACACTGATACAAATTACGGCCAGAAACTCAAAACTTAATAAATAATGACAGAGTAAAATTGAAAACGAACAGACCAATGAACCAGTAGATTTGAATTCTAAAGAATAAGCGGTGTATAGTCCCATGCTACATTAAATGAAAACTGCACGTCAAAATATATGAATAAAAAGACTGAAATGCACGAATATTACAAAAAATTCATTTAATCTAAATTTAATCTTCATTTAAACTAAAATTTGATGAGAGGGGTTAGAATCTTACAAGTCAAATTGTTTTGGAAGTAATTTTATAAGCTACTTTCATACGGATAGTCTCCTGCAAAAATTCGACAAATTCAAGCTAAAGCAAAAAAAGGTCATCTTCTATGTTGCTCAGCTGAAGGAAAATTCTTCATGAACTAATTGCCCTTCCTCGCCTTCCAATTAATGATGGAAAAATTAGTTTCAGAGACACAAAGGGAGTATCGAGAAAGTCTGACAAGAATTTTCTGTATGAAATTCAATTTCTGGCTTATAAAGTCGTAGAGCGAACAGCGTTCTACTGCGTTCTTTTTCATTACAACAGTGCAGATTCCGAATTTATGGTGTAACTGCATAAATGTGTATCTTGGTTTACAGGATTGCAGTCTTCCTGTCATACTTCGACGAAAATTACTGAACGTCGTTCCTTGAAAACTTCAGCGATTTTTCTTCTCTGTATGTATGAAGAACATTCTGCGAAATTTTCAAAAATAAAATACAGGTGAAAATTCTGAAATAGCACAACCAAGATACCCACTTTTGCAGTTTTACGTTTGTCAGTTTCAGTTTCGAGATGTAAATAGACTTCTTTTGCACAAATGCACTCAATGAAGAACGTGCTTTATTCAAAGAATGGGTTAATCAATTTTTGTGAGAAGATGAGCATGAAATTTGAAGGCCTAAACGAAGGAAAAAAGTGACAATAAAGTTGAGGAATAAGAAAAGAACAAAAAACTTACCTGGTACAGTTGAAGAGTGAGTTAAATGTGAGAATCAATCATTTTAGTGTGTTGAGATGCAAAAAACAAAAGTTCAGGTAGTTCCAAAACCGTCAGATACTGGTAGAACTTAAAACTTACAGAACAGGGGAACTTTACAGAAAACTAGTACTAAGTTTCCAAATGGCGATAAAAAAGGAGAAAATAGTTCCAAATGTATTCGCTATCAATTGAACAATTTTATTTGCCCAAAAATTACTAGATTGATCAATTCGCATTTTGCCAAATGCTTTCATTGCTGTCAGAAGTGACAGTGATTACATCAGTTTGCTAATATTAAACAGGAAAGTCATGATAAGCTTAACTTAGAATAATCTCCGATTACTTTTTTTAATTAAATGAGAGGACATTGCATATCAGTTTTATTCCTGACTTTCATCAATTTCAAGTACTTACTCTTTCCAGTCTTTCCTTCAACCACCATGTTTTTTAAATGTTGGGTCTTCTAGGAGAAAATAAAAAACCTGATGACTCACTGCAAATGATCTTGGTGGTAAAGTGACAAGGTTCCTTTGGCCAGCCAAAAAGAGACTTTTTTACTCTTTAATTTTCCACATTACCACTAATCTTGTGAGTTTTTTCTGATACCTATTTACCTAAACCAATTTTGAAAACTAGATAATTTCCACCTTTACTACCTAATTTTCCACTTGAATTACGAAAAAATGATCAAATTTGATGAGAGTCTGTGGATGCTCCTACCATTCTCTAATGTAATCACTGTAAATGATGGGCATATTTTTTTTTCCATGATTTTAACAGAAGAATATTACAGTTGGAACAATTCAGTAACTATTTTGTAAAAAAAGGAAAGAAGCAAGAAAAGAAAGAAATAGCACATTAGTATTATTCCAAAAAGAAGAGGTCACAGTGAAGAGCTGTAATGTCAGAGCCTAATTTATCTCTGATGTAGATTAAAAACAAAAGTTGTGAAAAAGTTCATTTTAAGTTTCTAAACTTTAAACAAGACTTACTTAAAATTCCAAAAAGGTCAGTTTGCTCCTCCGTCTAAGATTACATTTAAGTTCTTTTTTCTTACCTCCTACTTTCTGTTCCTTATAATAAAGAGAACTTGGGGCCATTTATGAAATCCTACAAATTATTTATTTCCATAAAATCTTCAGTGACTACATTCCAGTTGGTAACTCGGGGTAATCGTGATTGATGTTTTTCCTTCTTTCTTTTTTTCTTCTTAAGTTTAAGTTTCCTTAGTGGAAATCACGTGGAAAACGTCGCTGAAGGAAGAATGAAATGAAATCCAAGAAAAAAAAGTAAAAAAGTTTGCTGAAAATTCTTCCTATCGATCTATATGCCACACTTGATTCTGTTCCTTTCTTACTCTTCGATTTTACTAAACATTGTGCCATGCAACTGAGTAAACATCATGAACAGACAACGCATTCTCAAAAATTTTACCAATCACTTTTGACTTACATTTTCCAATGTTCTCTTCCGATTGCGCTGAGCATAACAGACAAACAAACAGAGGTTAGATGATATGACTTGTCAATTTGACTACAAAAAAAGAATGAATCCCAACTATGATTCATTTTAAAGAGTCGCAAGGTGCTCAACTAGGCCGAATTTGCTCGTTGTTACCACATATTGTGAGAAGAGATTAACCAATAAATAACTGATTATTTAGAGGACACAAAAGTGGGTCAGAAGGAAAGTCCCACGGCTCATCAAATTTCATTTCTTTTGAGATAATGATAATTTTGGAGCATGAAAAATATCACCTCTACCGTAACTAGGAAATCAAAGCAGATCCAACTTTTTTTATTGCAAAAAATAGATTTTAATTAAAGCTGGAGCCATGAAAAGACTTTGCTGCCTCTCAGTTGCAGAAGGAGAGAGGGTTCAAGTGTTGCATACCATACAAAAAATGACTTCCTCTTGCTTTTACACAGCACTCATAATGTGAACCCAAACTTTCCCATAGGAACTCATCATTTGCCCCTCCATCACTTTCTTAATGAAATATTTGCTCCCTAAAAATAAGACGATTTTTCAATAATGATCTGGACCCAATATAAAACTTTAACCTGCTTAGCTTCATGTAAGAGATGTCTCTCCTGTCCCTAAAATGCATACACAACACTTACATGCCACTTGTCTTGATTTTTGCTTGGGCCTGTATTGAGGAACTTGCTTTAAAAAGGCCTTAAATAGGAATGACAGCCTTCTACTTGAGAAACCTTTTAAAATCAGCCTCATCAAATTCAAACCTTTTGAAACCTTTTTACTCAATTTGAATTTGGTAATGGGTCAGTCATAGGTATTCAGTTATTGGGAGCTTCAAATAAAGTAAAATTTAAAATTGCAAATTTTATACCTAAAACTTCTTAGATTCTTTCTAACTTCTGAATATGTTCAACTCGTAAAGATAAAAAATTGGAAAACATTTGTATGTATGGGGTATGGGTGAGGGATCGCTGCCAGTGATGGGTTGAGACATTAATTTAAAATAAGAAAAAATATACTGAAAATACAAAAAGCGCTGGGAATGAAAAATGAAGGTCCCACTTTTTTTAATCAATATTGTTTTGCCCTCATTGTCGTTTCTGCTTTTTTATATTTCTTTGTTGTGTTTAAGGCTATGACTGAGGCAGAAAAGCTACAAGGACATTGCTACAAGGGCTGAAAATCATTGCACAAATTGAAAAAAATCAAAAGCTGCACTACATTGAGGGTGAACTTCAGACCAAATGCGATTCCGGTTTGTCGGGGGTCAAAAGGTGCAATGAAAAGTCGGAGCAAGGAAGTGCATTGCAAACTTAACCAAAACCAAACTGAATCAAATCAAAAATAGAAATAAAATGATTTGTAGCCAACAGATAGGTATGCGGTTTATTGCAGAATTTCAAAACCAAAAACGAAGAAAAAAACAAAGTTGACAGACAATACAGGCACTTCTAAGAACTGATAAGATCACGATAATTCTAGGCCTTATGATAGGATTTTTAGAAAAAGGCAGTAACCGTATCTAAAAGAAAAATAAATTATAAAAATGCAAAAACACTACAGCATTTGCAAATTTTCTATTAAAAAAAAGAAAAATAAGGAAAAATTCCTTAAAATTTAGCAAAAACCTAAAAGAAGCCAGGAAAATAAACTTAAAGTAGAAGTAAGTGACTTAGCTTCAAACATAAAAAAAAGAAAGAAAAAAACCTCTGCGAAAGTTCCACTACATAACAAATGATAACTTTTTAAGTGATAATATTGGCTTGGTCATGAGGGGGAAAAACAGAAAGCACAGGAAGCTCGACACACTAAATTCCCTACAACTTAGTGTCTTCCTATTAAACTTTATATAAGTACAAAATCAGAAAATTGCGATAAAATTCTGCAGATCAATTTATTTAAAAAAGTTCCACTCTCAAAACAATCCTATCTTGCTTTGCGGCTAGTTTTGGAATCTGTAGTAGCTGAACAATATGCTATACAACATTTTTATGGGTCAGTAAGCAACTTGAAATAACCTAAGTATCTTAATTTTAACACATTTAACTTAAATTCTAACTGTGAGTCAATCACACTCTAGGAGAAGAATAGTGGAGATTTTGGAGAAAATGAACTATCCAAAGAATTTTTGTAGAGAAAGTACTTTGTTCCTTGATCCGTGACTCAAAAAATTCAATTTTTATTCATATATTTGTTCTATTTCCTATTTTACAGCCTTTGAATTGTTATCTACAAAGGATCCTTCAAAAAGGATTGATAAACATTGACTCCCTCAACTTCCATTAATTTCAAGAGGATAAGTTCCCACAAAGAAAACCGAAAATCAGGGGTTGAATATATGAAGAAATAATCATGTTCTCATCAGACTGGATAGTAGTTCTTGGAGTCTCTTACTCATTGATCATGATATAAAAGCAATAAAAAAAGCTTGATGACATCCTGAATCTTAACTGCTTATGACTTACAAATCAGCATTAGTATTTTCATCATCGTCCATTTAATTATCCCTGCAGGCAGTAGTTCATCAAACATGGTTTATTCACTCTTCCGTCACTCTACATCTTTGAATGTCTACAGTATGCAATTAATAATGATTTAATCTCTCCATCTGATTTGCTTCCCAGCCACAATTATAATTCTAGGCATCATGGCATCAAAAACATCAAAATCTCATTACAGGTGTCCGAAAGTAATGTTAAATTTGCAACCATTCAATTTCTCAATTCGCTGCCACTAAGACTAAAGCTTCTGTTCAGGGACACAGGTTCCGCATCATTCATGTTGGAGCTGCAACATTTCCTACTTCAAGAAGCTTTTTATAGTATTGATGAGCTGATTCTGAAAGATTATGCTTCATGCTGATTTGTTGTTATTGTAATTTAAATTTGTTATTGACCTGCATTACATTTGTTATGGACCTGTATTATTGCTGTAATTGCAGCTTTTATGTAGAAGAAGTTTAAAATAAATAAATAAATTGTCAGAGAGAGTTTCATTCTGATCCAAGGATCTCTCTTTTTGAGTGAAACTATGGTATGGTTTTGTATCCATACATTAAAAGTTATAGAAACGTCCACAGTAAAAGTACATTACAACTAAAAAGGTCACTTTCAATTAAAAAGACAAAAAAAGCACTTTCTTGTGCGAGGCTCAGTATGAAATTGCTGTGATCAAATCTATAGCTTTAAAATATTTAAAATTTCCATTAATTTGACCCTCTTTCGTTTATCTATCGCATCATAAATGATTTTGGTGGCTTGAGCAACAGGTCAGAGAGAATCTTCAATTTATAATTCAGTTGATCTACAACAATCATTTTGATAAGACGGGGAAAAATCAGATGGAGAACAATTTAAACTTAAACTATTTTAAATTCTTAATAGGTACTTTTTTCCTTGAGAAGTAATTTTTAGGAGAGGACAGATTTTTTTAGTTGTGTTGATGCAACATTCCAAAAATAAACTTAACAAAGAAGGAGTCTACATTAAATTTCATTCGATGGAGGGGAGGACGAGGGGAATCCTCTAGGGGAAGAAAATGTTAATGGAAAAGCTGGTAAAATAAATTAGCTGTCAATAGAATCAAGATGATGAGAACAAAGCATGACAATAGAAGGAGTTTTGAAGCCGTTAGAGAGAAAGACCCACTTCCAAGGCGTTACTTATAGAGAACTTTAGGAGGGTTTGCGTCTAAATGCTCTTGCACCACATAGGAGGGGGATGTCGTCGGATGGGTCAGGAGTTTCTTCCGTACCTATTTCTTGGAGCGCAGCAAAGTTCCCTGGTGTGGCCGAGCGCGTCAGGTGCTTCTCCAGGTTTGGAGCAGAGCGACTCCATTGCGCCTTGGGGCCGACGCCCGTAACTCGTTGAATAATATGGCCTCGTTCTCGCTGATGGCAAGTGCTTGGCCCCCACGTCTTGCCTTTGACCCCATCAGCCGGAACTGTAAAGATTCCATTGGGTCAGCTTTGATATTTTGCCCCGATTCAAAGCCTTGGCAAATTTAGCATAGCTTTTACAAAAAATGTATACCGTTCCTAATACTTTGTTCTTCCAGACAGCCTTGAGTTTATCCTTTGTTCCGTTTGAAATTACGAATAGAAATAAGGTCACAGAAAAAACAAAAAGGTGCATTAGAATGACACCTATCCAATGTTCTAGTAAGTTTTTGAAAATACTGAATTGCGATATAACCGCACTGAACTCTGATTTATCTGAGAAGAGTTTACTTTGAAAAATTAAGAGATTTGATTACATGCAGAGAAAAGCCTCTATCTATTTGCCTAATAGCCTTCATTTCCACTGTGTTTTCTGATGAATTACACTCTGGATGTTATTCCTGATTTTTCCAGGACCATAATTGTTATTTTCAAATGGAAATCAATAGCTCTCAAAGGAAGCTATTTAGAAAAAAAAGTTAAATAGTTAAAAAAAAAAAATTGTTAAGTATGGAATATATCATGAAGTTCAAAACGAATTCTTGGACATTTGGTATAAAAAACATCCTCCCTAGGTGAAAAGGGTGCTATGTCGTAGAATCCTAAGGGATCCAAAAGTCAAATAAATTGACATGAAAAAGCCTCAATATTTGTAAATAACCCATTACAGCTGTATATTATCTTTAATAAACCATGTCGAACATTTCTACGACAAGATCGTGATAAAGCTTTGATAACTTTCTCCCAAACTGAATGCACGCACCACACTTACAATGTACACTACAAGGAAGAAGGAAAACCCAAGATTTTGCAAAAAAAAATTGATACGAAATTCAGTTTTGTCAAAACGAGCAGACAGCTAGAACCGCAAAAAGTTTAAGAATTTCAAAACATAAAACTCACACACAACATACTGAGAGAATACAGATTTCAATTCTATGATCTATTCACTTACAAAATTAGGGACCATTGATGAAATACATAACGCTCAGGAGAAAGAGAAGGGGCCGAGGAGCGTATTGCGTTATTTTATTTTTACGTGTTTAAGGTTAAGGACTCACATTACAAAAAATTGCGAGGGGGATGGCGGGTCAGTAAATTTGAAATTTAGTGCTTTGTACTTTATAAATGGCCCCTTAGGTATAATTCATGCAATTAAATGTGTCCACGCCTGCGAGTTTTCAGTGTGCAGATGAAAAACACTTTTTGCAGGAGAAAAAACAGATAATGGATTGAACTGATGGGGGTCTTGTTAAAATTATGTTTAAAATAAGGATTTCATGTGATTCTCATTAACTAGACTTTGAGGAAATTTAGAGGAAACCAAAAAAAGTTGTGTGTTTTACTTTGCAGGATGATCGGTCTTCTTAAATTAACTAAGAGTTATTGTCCTATGATCTACAACACAAAAAGAAGCGTCTGAAAGGCAGTATCAGATGAGCAGCTGAGTCTATTTCTTAAGGGTCGATTGGTTTTGGCTTGCCTCTAACCTTTGAATGTGCCAATGTACCTCCGTTACAACCCTTGAACAATACCCCCGAGCCAGTCACTAACTCTGCCCTTCGGCCTCCACTTTTCAAGCTGTAGACAATAGCATTTAGTTTTAAATGGGCCAACTTTTTCACATGGAGTTTTCCAACTTGACAGATTCCATCAGGCAGTGATGTTGCTATCAGAAGGTCTTATTGAAATTGCCAAAGTCCTCACTTCAGGCGTTGTTGCCCTGAGGGTAAATCATACAAATATAGCTACTTTCATATAAAAAATTCAGTATTACCACTTCAGAGAGCACTAGGGTGCGGCTTATTTTTGTCATTTCGGAAAATCGACGAGGTCCGGGTGGCAATTGATGCTATCTATGAAAATAATAGGCTGTATAAAATTTGAGCCAATTTGAAGCTTTTTTAGCTGATGCTCAAAGGGATGCAAAATTACATTGGTTTAAATGGGCGGAAAAACGCCTGATCTGCGCAAATGCGTTTTTTGCATCTAAAATGCGCTTGAATGAAGAAAACCTGACCAACTCTTAGAGAGGCATCTAAGGGCCCATTTGAAACGAGAAAATCACACTTTTGACCCATGGGTGAGGGTAGGGGGATCACTTGAGTGCAAGATAAAATATATACACTAATTTCGTTCAAGGCTCGAGAAATAGTATGTGAGGCAACATTGTAAAGGGCCAAGTATAGTTCTAAAGGGCTAAAACAACTATTATACATTATTTCTCATCAAGTTTTGAGATAAATTTGCCTCTTCAACTTCGGAACACTTATTTTGAGTTCGATCAGAAGTGAATTCTTAGCTCCGGGCGCGGCGCATCAAAACCGGCTACGCCGTGACTCCCCTGTCCCCACTCATGGGTCAAAAGTGTGATTTTCTCGTTTCGAATGGGCCCTTAGATGCCTCTCTAAGAGTTGGTCAGGTTTTCTTCATTCAAGCGCATTTTAGATCCAAAAAACGCATTTGCGCAGGTCAGGCGTTTTTCCGCCCATTTAAACCAATGTAATTTTGCCTGTAGTTTTGATCCCTTTGAGCATCAGCTAAAAAAGCTTCAAATTGGCTCAAATTTTATACAGCCTATTATTTTCATAGATAGCATAGATTGCCACCCGGACCTCGTCCATTTTCCAACATGACGAAAATAAGCCGCACCGTAAGAGAGCACTAATAGGAATCGGTATCGTATTTAATGATGGATCACTCATGTTGGATCGGAGGATTGTAAAAACCAATGGAATATCTCTACAACTAATTGCAATCAATCATGTTGGCTCATAAATATTTGTTTGTGAAATAGCGGTAGAAATATTAATTACTTACGTGCTATTGCTCGCAACTGGCCGACGATTGGAGAGCTAGGAGGACTATTTGGTCCAGATGGGCTGAGCGAATTCCTTTCCAAGGGGCCAGTCTGCTGAACTGTTATATGATGTCGAAAATCTAGAAAAAAACAAAGGGAAGAGAGTGGTGGAGAGGATGAAACATAAATAGATGATACAGTACTAATTTCAGCTACCTCTAAAATTTGTTAAAGCCTCAGGTAAGAATTTTTATAACGAATTTAAAATGCTAAACTGTGGATCACTACAAACAGATGAGCCAAGGCGTATGAAAAAAGTCCCAGATTCTTCCAGGTACGTAAAATAACAAATAATCAATAATTGAAAGAACCTTGCACAGAACAAGGGGCTCAATGGCTCGCAGAAGATTTTGATAAAATTGTAATAGATTGAAATAAAACTCATCATTAGCACAAAGCCAAAAGATTTGCTCATTCTAACAAGTAGAAGCCGAGACATTCGCAACTGAACCGGGAATATTTTCCGTCATATAACAGCATGACAGAGGACTTATGAATCCCCTCTCCTCTGTTTGTTTGGCGTTTTTGATGAGACCTCACACACAGGTGCTTATGCATTCAGCTAGTGCAAGGACTGTATGCCCTCCTCCTCCCTGCATCTGCCGATTCTGTTTCAGTAACTCTAACCATTTCAGAGGAGAGGTGCGAGAGATAAGAGGACTTCATATCGCACTGCCCGAGCTGGGCTCAAGCAGCTACCTGGAGGAGAGACGGACTTTCCTGCCTGAAGTGTTCAAGAACAAGAAAAGGCAACGAAGAGCGCCCATTTGTCCCTGCCACACCAAAAATGGCCTGTGAGTTACTTGTTACAATGAGCTAATTTTTTGGTTTTGTGCTATTGATTAACTTTGTTTTCATCTATTAAAGTTTCATCAAAATCTACTGGAAGCCACTGAGCCTCCTGTTCTGTGCGGAGTTCTTCAGGCCATCGATAACACCAGACAATTCATTGTCTCCCACACAAAGGAATGTAGCTTGTCTACGCTGTTTCAGTATTTCCATGAATATTTTATTTTTTCATGGGAGTACTGTCGTTTGAATTAGTCTAAAAATTTCAGAGTCTAGTCAAGCAAGGAGAAGAAAAATCACTAAAGATTTCAGGTAAACTCATGTGACTGTTTTCCTACGAACAAATACAGTGTAAGAAACACTAAAACAGCCTAATCAAGATACTTGTGTCCCTTGCTGCGGAAAATCGGTGTGGTTACACCGATGATTCATCAATGACTTCACAAATCGATTTGCGTTCGTTCACAAGATTCTCGTATTAGTAACTTCAAACTAAAATATGCTAAGATGTTTTTATCACATGTACTGTGTTCTTTCACATTTATTTAGTTCAAGACTTTTTCAACTATTTTTCATCTTTTAACCTGATTCAACTGTCTGCGCCATGCAGTTTTTGTGATATTTGTGTAATTGCAATGATTTGAAAGCATTTGACACACTTTTTGAATTTTGTATGTTTTGTTAATGCCCAGATGGTGGTTCAAGGCACCAACATGCATTGGTCCATTCATCAGTATGTTTTCTAATCAATCAATAAAAGTTTTTCCTGCATTCAAGGACGTTCACATTAGTATTATCACATTAGTATTATCGTTTCTAAAATTACTTCACCGGCAACTTTATCAATAATGCTATCCATGACTTCACCAAGGACACTAAGTAAACAAAATAAGAGAGACTTCATCTAAATAACATATCACTGATAGCACTGTTGACAATCCTCAGATTCAAGTCGTGGAAGGGTAGAAAAAGGTTCTTGCAAAATTAACTGATAAAAGTTCCTAGGAAATCAAATTTGCCAAAAAATCTGATTGTAAATAGTCAACCCCTCCCCCCTCCCTTAGAAAAAAGGAAAATAATGTAGTTCTAGGTTAAGGTGATTTGATAAATGCCACATTTTGTGTCAGAAAGGTATGCGATGTATCGCATCGATTAGTTCCATTTTTCAGCTACCGTCATTGTTCTTGAATTTTGAGATCGCAATTCTGTTGTTAGGAGACTAAAGATTTCACTTACCAATGAGGGTTATTCATATAGGCGAAAAATGTACCCAGCCCGGAATGTACGAAACTTTGTGGGCTGATAGTACTAGTTGAGAGAGGCTTATCCCTAGCTCCGTTTTTGCAGGAACCCCAGGGAAACAGCGTTGCCATTTTTTAAAGTCGTAACCTTCAAACATCCATAACTTTCGGAGAAATGCAGTTACAGAGCTCGTATTTATACCAAAAGATGCAAAAAATTACGTTCTATCGACCTATGCCAAAGAAATTTTAATTTAACTCCGTTGTTGCCACGTTTTGGCCATTTTATTAATTTTCGTAATTATTTAAAATCACGTTACCGCCTAAAAAAGTGTTTGCGGTTGGTGGGGATTGAATAAAAACATGTCAGAATTATTGTTCGTTTGATTCCGCATCCATCGATATATTATACTTTTCTGAGAGACTTAGGGAACACGAGTTATAGCGATTTGAAAATTCGGCAACACGCCCGATACCACGATATTGACGCTCGTTTAGGTACGTTTCGCAACTCCGTGTTAAAGCAAAACGCCTAGACCAAACAAAATTCGAAAAGTCAGTTCATGTTTTGCGCTTTTTTGAAACTTTCACATGATTTTTAGGAATTTAAGTAGCGGCGGTGTTGCCGGTTTTCAATGAAAACCACCGCTGCGATCACAATTTAAAGCAGTACTCATTTAATCTTATCCAGCTACATTTGTTAACCTAAACTGACCATTTGCGACATGGTGTTGACAACATTGCCTAATTTCCGTCGGAATTCGCGTAGAGGCGGGGTTGCCAGTTTTCATAGAAACCGCCACCGCAATCAAAAAAAAAAGGTATTACTTCTTTGATCACGTTCAGCCTTATTCTGTAGTTGGAATTGTTTATTTATCGAATCGATGGTTTCCTCTATCTCTCCGCAACGGCAGTGGTGGCCGACAGTAACGAGATATCGAAATTTAAAGCTACCGAATCACTCAAGCGGTCCGATGAGTAGTTTTGGCGAGGGGCCTAGATCCATTGCTCTTGATCTCTATACAATATCGATATCTCGGCACTGTCAGGCACCACTGCCGTTGCTGAGAGATAGAGGAAACCATCGATTCGATAAATAAACAATTCCAACTACAGAATAAGGCTGAACGTGATCAAAGAAGTAATACCTTTTTTTTTTGATTGCGGTGGCGGTTTCTATGAAAACTGGCAACCCCGCCTCTACGCGAATTCCGACGGAAATTAGGCAATGTTGTCAACACCATGTCGCAAATGGTCAGTTTAGGTTAACAAATGTAGCTGGATAAGATTAAATGAGTACTGCTTTAAATTGTGATCGCAGCGGTGGTTTTCATTGAAAACCGGCAACACCGCCGCTACTTAAATTCCTAAAAATCATGTGAAAGTTTCAAAAAAGCGCAAAACATGAACTGACTTTTCGAATTTTGTTTGGTCTAGGCGTTTTGCTTTAACACGGAGTTGCGAAACGTACCTAAACGAGCGTCAATATCGTGGTATCGGGCGTGTTGCCGAATTTTCAAATCGCTATAACTCGTGTTCCCTAAGTCTCTCAGAAAAGTATAATATATCGATGGATGCGGAATCAAACGAACAATAATTCTGACATGTTTTTATTCAATCCCCACCAACCGCAAACACTTTTTTAGGCGGTAACGTGATTTTAAATAATTACGAAAATTAATAAAATGGCCAAAACGTGGCAACAACGGAGTTAAATTAAAATTTCTTTGGCATAGGTCGATAGAACGTAATTTTTTGCATCTTTTGGTATAAATACGAGCTCTGTAACTGCATTTCTCCGAAAGTTATGGATGTTTGAAGGTTACGACTTTAAAAAATGGCAACGCTGTTTCCCTGGGGTTCCTGCAAAAACGGAGCTAGGGATAAGCCTCTCTCAACTAGTACTATCAGCCCACAAAGTTTCGTACATTCCGGGCTGGGTACATTTTTCGCCTATATGAATAACCCTCTTTGACAAACAAATTCAACGTAATAAAGGCGAGGTTTTTTTTAGAGGAAGAATATCCCATTCAAGTGCAGTTTCGATATCAGTATCAAATGTGATATTTTTCCTCTAGAAAAATCATGCCTTTATTAACTTGAATTTATTTATTGAAATTGGTGAGTAAATTCTTTAGTCTACTGAAAACAGAATTGCAATCTCAAAATTCGAGAAAAATGAAAAGTAGCTGAAAAATGGAATCGCATGTCTTTCTGACACAAAATATGGTGTCTATCAAATCACCTGAAAAGTGAGAAAATAATTTTACAAAGCACACCAAAAGATAAGAGACATACTTGAAGGAAAACTAATGTTAGGGTTCTTCAGCAGCTTCTTTAGCTTTGTTCGCTTGAAATTGCCTCGACGTTGATGGGGTGTCGGCACCTGTTGCCACATGATAATGTACAGCTCACGTTTCAAGAGCTCTATTTCTCGTGCATGAAGGTCTTCCTCACGCTGACGCAAAAGTCTGTCGATTTCCTGCTGCTGTAGTTGTGCTTGGTTTAGTTCTTCCTCTCGATTTCTTAGCTCCTAGAAAAAGAGATAATTTAGAGTTACATACCAAAGTTTTAGACAAACATTCATTGGAAACAATCAATGGGTGGACAGTGGACAGTCAATTAATTGGCTGGCTCAGCCGGAATCAGCCAAACTGTATTTTGCATTGCCTAATTTTCTCTCAAGTTTCATTTTTCAACGGAGAGCCAAAATAATTTAAGCCTTTAAACTTGCTGAGAATTTACTCTACATTTTGAAGGATACACAAAAAATTTCCAGTTTCAGTGTCGCTTCATTTTCTGGTTAAAAAATATAGACCAAATAAGTAGACAAGACTGTCAAAAACACAAGAGCTCGGTGCATGAGAGAACAACAAGACGTACAAAACAATAAACAAAACTCTAAATACAGAAATACTAGAAAAAAAAAGCATACTAAAAAATACATAGACCATTACCAGAGATATAATAGTTCAGAATTTATGAACTATTTTATCATATTATTGTAATTTTCTGGTGCTACTTTGAAACATAAAATGAGTTTGGAACACAACAAAGCTTTTGATTGTACTCAGGGAAAGGAGCCTCCGCTTAGTTTTTCAGGAAAAAGCTCAAGAAATTCGAATCTGAGTTTCTGTTGTACATACACCCGAAAAGTAAGTTGGGAAAAATTTAGGTCCATCCTTCACCAATGAACGATTCTTTCACAATTAATAGTTGCCATAACATCCACTAATTTTGATCTTTGAACAAAGCAGGTGAAAACTTCTAGTAGTTATATGAATATTACATTTTTTGAGCCACTGATTTCAAACCTTCATGATTTTCATCTAATTAAATGTTCCAGATCTTTCTTGTGTCAAATTGTCCATAAAACACTCATCTAAGCAGCAGCAATATTATTGCTAAGTTTGACGACTTTGAGTAATTGAGTCCCAGGGCTCCTTTCCCCATGAAACATTAGAGTTCAGTTCTTCTCAGCGTGTCAATCAACATGAATGGGTCTCCGGGTCTGCATGAATGAAACTCTTCTTTGACACTTGTATATCGATGGTGAAACTACCAAACCACGTATCTCGGTTTGCGACGTTGCAGACTTCCTGTCATACTTTATTTTTTAAATGAAAAACTACTTAATGTCCAGTCTTGAGAATTTCTGTGATTTTTCCTCTTCGTGCGAAGAAAATTCTGTGAAAATTTCAAGGAATGATATTGATTTGGTCTATTTCAAAAAAATAAAATGTGAGCGTAGATTTTTAAACACCGCAAACGAGATACATGGTTTGGTAATTTCACCGTCGATATTCATGTAAACACATATCTGATTGACATTGAATAAAGTGCCCATGCAAGATTTTGAAAAATCATTTAAAAATACAATTCAGTGATGTTTTTGATGAATGGAGTATTTTTGTTGTGCTGCTCAATCTTTCATCTTGGTGTTTCAAATAATTGACCTTTTTGTTAAAACATTAAAATTTTACTTAAGAAGTAAAAATGAAAATTTCGTAAAATGACAAGGCAAATTTAACAGAGGACTATATTAAACACAAATAAATTTCAGTGCACCTTTTTCGATTAAACTGTCAAATCAAAGACCAAAAACTACAAATCAACGCAAAAGAAAAAGTTACCTCTTCTTTACTGAGAAAAGCCTTGAGTAGCATAAGGATAAAAATGAAAATTGGTTAATTGAGACAGGAACAGAAAAATATTCTCCTCATACTAGAAGAGGAAATTGGTCAGAAAAAACACTCACATAAAATCACTCACAAAAGTGAGGCTTTTTTTTTTAGACACGATCCGAACACCTGAGAATGTTCACAAAATTTTTCTCTGCTTTTATGAGAGTACATAATATAAACAACAAAATCAGAACAGTTAGGAGACATCAATCGGGCAAACACAGAGAAATAGGGGAAGGGGATGGATGAAACTTTTAGGGTTCTATCACGTCACTTTTTTGGATCAGAGGGGCTATAATTTTTCGATTGTGTCTATTAAAAAGGAGATAAGGTTCTTATAGTTTAGCTACTTTTCCAAATTTTTGACAATGTGCACTTTCCATGCAAGCAAAACTTTCCTGAAAATTTATACTTGGGAGCTTTCTGTGCCTTTCAAAAAACCTTCAAGATTTTAAAAATCACCTTGGAATTGGATATATTTCATTAAGGAAGGGCTGAGAACATTTTTCTACTACTTTGGTAAAATTTTGAAGTAAAATTTTGACATTATCACTGAAGTTCCCAGAGAAGTTTTCAGAAATTTCTTTGCAAAGATTCCCCCAAAAAATTGGTCACGGAAATTTTGAAAATTCTGTCCATCCATTTCACTTCTAGGAAAGTTAAAACTTAATATAAAAATAATAGACACAGGATACTTGATAATTTCTTATCAAACATCTGTACCTGCTTTCGTTTTTTATTTATTTCAAGGAAATTATGATTGTTTGCGACTCAATCATTACTGATTGTAAGTAAATCGATGGTGCCACTCATTATGAAGAACGTGATGGTCACAAAGAGCAATCTTTAATGGTCTTTGCTGATCATACTTTTTAACAAAGTTGATTTTGAAACAAAATTCGTTATACTGGCTTGTATAGTCACGAAGGACGCAAAAATTGGGTTCCCCAAATAAAAATCATGTGTATGGCTCATGTACAAATAGAACTTAAACGAAGAAACTTTTCCTTAGTTCGGTTTTCACTTTTTAGCAGTCATTAGGGCTGTAACTTACGGCCAAAATGGCAGCTGAAGTGTTCTAAAAGTAAAATAGTGGATATTTTATAAAACTAATGGCGACATTATGTTGCTTACAGAATTTTACTGGAGAAAGAGGGTCATGGTGTCAAATCTAAAACTTGAAAAAATTCCGTTTCTGGATATGTGTTTCTGAGAACTCTCAAAAATCTCTACACAGGCTTTCAATTACCATATCATCTCAACAACCTCTCCTCTTATGGAGCTTAAATACTGCTGTTGTGATGGATTTCTGGAATAGAATGATTAAAAAAAAAAAAAAAAAAAAAAAAAAAAAAAAGCTTCAATTCATGGAAAAAATGTAAATTAAGAAATGTTATAGTTAAGAGAATTAAAATGGCTGAGACTTACATTTTCTTTCATGCGAAGCCCAAGCAGAACTTCTTGGATCTCTTTACGCCAGTCATTTTGCATTGTATGGAAGGACTCATGAGGGGTTTGTGTGAAGGCAGAATGCACGATTTCATCAAGAGCGTCTAGGATTTCCAGAAAAGGCGGACGATTATGAGGATCTGGCGCCCAACATGCTGCAAGAAAAATAATATTAAAATAAAAATGGGGAAAAAAGAGATTCAATAAAGAAGTACAAAAGATGGAGCTAACTGGAGGGATAGGTCACGTTTCAAATCATTTTCACATTGAAACTGAAAAATATAAAATATCCTATTTTCCGGACTTCACATTAAAAATAAATCAAACTCTAAGTACATCTTTTTAATCTGACTTCCTTATTTCAGGAGTAAAAAAAGGCTCCTTACAGGCAAGCTTATGTAGACCTTGAATAAAATGAGAACCTTTGAAAAATGTTTGGATGAAAACATTCGCTCATTAAAATTCCGATGATCATATCTGAGAAATCTACAATATTTCGAGCACAGTAAATTTCAAAAAGGTTATTCAGGTATACAGGGCGTCCTAGACCACCTGTACAAGGTTTCATTTCTCGATTGTTTCAGGTTGGATGAAGTCGGAGACTGCGGAGACGAATAAGGAATTGATAGTAAGGATCCAAATTTTAAGGTCATGCAGCTCATCTGTTCCCCCATGGACGGTAATCAGGAAGGGAGGAGGGTCTTGCTTTGAAAGTAAGGCTTTACAAGAAAATTTTCAAGTTATTCAATCAGAGTCAAAATGTACGGAAAATTACTTAAATTAACACCAAGAAATCTACGATCGGCCCTTCCATGTCCGAAATGTCCCCGGAAGGAGGGAGATGGAGCCAGCCCTGGAAATTAGCTAGTTTGATAAATTGGTGTAGAGGCTCGAAAAGAAGGCCTCCAGTATTCGACTTTATCTGACCTAAGATAACCAAGAAAAATGCCTAATAAGAATAGTTCGGGACATCCCCCATTCTTCTTCTTGTATGCTCTGTCATAAAAAACTATGAAGATGATGTTATTGGTTAAAATTCTCTCAAAATGTGAGGCATATTTCTGCCATATCCTTGTTGAACTGGTGAGCCTTTGAATGGCTGCAACACTATTTTTCTATTATACTGGTGGCGGATGAAAAGCAAAAATTGATCCCTATCAACTGTGTGCATAAAACTGTACATACCTTCCATCAGAGCTCGCCATGATTCCGGACATGTTGAAGGAATGGGCAAACTTAGTTTATTAGTTGCGACACCATATGCCACAGCAAGTGCATCTATACCTTTGTAAGGAGTCTCTCCCGTCAACAGTTCCCACAAGAGGACTCCATAACTGAAAAATATTGTAAAGATGGATAAGTAAACCTACTCACTGTGTCAGGCATGAAATATTAAAAAAAAAAATTAGGGTGCACCATTACTATCTTATTACTGCACACATTTTACAGGAAAAATTTAGAGAATCCTCAGTGTCTCTGAGATTTGAGCCCATTTTGATAATGTACACTTATGGTGCCGAGTGATGGAAGAGCGCTGTATGAGCTTTCAGACACTGCCATACTTCCTCCAATAAAAACTGAATGTACGGGAAAAATGGTGAATATTTTTCTTCCATTTTCTCGGAAAATTTTGTTTGCAATTTCATCTAAGATATCTGTAAATTTCAAGGAAAAATATGCATAATTTTCCTCAAAAATACAAGTTATATCTGGGGAGAATCGGCAACTCTCGAATGCATATAAAACGTTCTTCCTTAGCACGGCAGTAAGGTAACAGCTTTGCGTCCTTGAACTAAACATTTCAAATAGCTGTTGTTGTATATTACACTTTTTGAGAAGAAGCTTTGATCTTAAACAGACCATTTCTGGTGTGTCAGACCATTGAGGAAAATTTAATTAACGTTTAGTATCATCTCAATCATCAATTTTGATGTGTATTGGATAAAAGCACATAAATCAATCAACAATCAATTCTCATTATTTTTAGCGGAAATTAGAGAAACGCCAATTTATTGACAATCATGCTTCTTTCAATTTGTAATTAAGATGACCACCATGTGCAAGTAGGGTAAGGCTGAATAAATCCTCCAGCTAGGACTAGGAGATGCATTCTAAAGAATGAGGGACCGCATTGAGCAGAAAGGAACTAAATCACAGCAATCATTGCTAAATTCTATCACACCCATTATTTTTAACAGAAGAGCGGAATTTGCTTCACATCACGGAGGAAATTCCTGAAATTTTCGAAAGAATCTAAACTATCGTTCTCAAGTAGAAAAATTAAATAATGCAATGAAATTTAGCGATGATTGAAGATGTGACTTGGGTCCTCTATGTTAAATTCGGTCCAAGTGAGTGTGGACTCAACAATTAGGCATCAACACAGAACTTATTTCACCGCACCCTTTTCATGGGATATAAGGATGACTGAGAAAGCCCTTACCTCCAGACGTCACTGGCTTTTGAGAAAGTGGACGCTTTGATGACCTCCGGTGCCATCCATGCGTATGTTCCTGCAGCAGACATCCGCGTCGTTTTGTACACCTCTCGAGCAAGCCCGAAATCCGTGATTTTCAACGTTTTGAACTGCAGATCGTCATTTTCCACAGGCTCGCTCAACAGAACTACAACAAAACGAGGCAAACAAATACTCATCAGTAAACAAAACGAGGGGAAAAAAAAAAAGGAAGGTCATACTTACGTCATTTTTACCAAAAATAAATGCGAATATAGAAACAGAGGATCACTTGCGTCGTTTAAAAAAAAAAAAAAAAAACATATCTTTTTAGGGAAAGAAGTTACATATTGCGTCTATTGAAAATTCATTTCGGATTTTCCTCATTTTTTAGGGAGAATTTCTTGATTTTTTGCGCTAAGTAATACCTAAATTGACACTCGTTTGATTTTACCAACCAACAGATGACGAATGGAATTAATGTTTCACTTTTTCATGTGCTCAACTACTTACGTGTGGTTGAAAGATGCTCGACGCACTCGAAATTACCTGATCCATGACCGGTTTACTAACATTTTCTAGATTTTTCCTGCTGAAATTGAATTTCCTAATATTTTTCTGTTTTTACTGACGTTAGATACCCTGTCACAATTAGGACTGTTTATTTGAAAAATATCCAAGTTCAAACTATTGATCAATGGACGAAACATTTATGAATCCAAGTCATAATACGTAACCAGAGCCAAAGAAGAAAAATTCCGTCCCTAATCTATGGACTATCAAAACATTAACCCAACTTAGTCCGTCAAAGGGGTTTCTGTAATGAGAACGTGAATGAAGAAATTCAAATTTTGAAAGACACAACGGCAAATCAATATTTTCTGAAGAACTGCCAATAATCACTAAAAGAGAAAAATTGACTGAGATAGGTTACAAATATTTATTGGATGTTTTTAAAAAAAAATTCACTTAAAGCAAGATTTTTTTTTTGGGGGGGGGGGGGGGGGGGCAGAAACCCTCAGTGCAGTTCACTTGCCGTAGAGCTGGGATCTCTGGGACTGAGAGGGAGAGAATTTTACGTATTTTGATGAAGAAGCGGCCGAGGTCAATTTGACCTATGTTTGACAGATTAGAGTTAAAGATGGATCAATTTCATCGTTTTTCCATGCACTCATTTCTATACCATGTCACTAATCTGAAAAACAAAGCTTGTCAGGGTGTCTATTAAAACAGGCTGGTCAAAAATAAATACTTGTACAGTACTTTTCCAGTACCTTCTCAAGAAATTCAGTATAGGTACCTCCTTCAACAGAAAAATTCCGTACTTTTTCAGTACCTCCATTTGACGAAGTTAAAAAAATTTCAAAAATTTGAAATTGCGACAAAAATGACAAAAAATTAAAAAAAAAAAAATCCGGACCTACTTGCGGAATTTCCGCTCTTTTTCAATACTTCCGAACCACCCTTAAAAAATCAGTACTATTTCCGGACTTTCCGGCCTTGTAGACACCCTGCTGGTAGACGTAAATGCAAGGATGCAGAAAGTTCTCCGATCCGATCCACGGAGTTTCGAGGAACCTGGGACTCGGCCTACGCACGATGACATTGCGCCTTCGCAGTAATTTTCACCAAAAATTAGCGCCTTCGTAGGAACGGTCTAAAAATTAAACGCGGGCGCATTTATTTTCTAAAAATTCGACGCTTGTGCATGCAAATCACTCCAAAAGTCAACTCTTTTGTACTAGTTCAGTAAAAATCAGTAAGATCGCAATAATTTTTACACAGTATCGACATCTTGTCGTGAATTTTCGTAAAAAATAGTGCGTTGAGCAGTCACTCCTGCGCGGATGTGTCTGGAGTCAACGTACCCGAAAAAGAAATCACATAAATTGGCAATGAGAAAATGAAAACGCTGGCGTCTTGAATTAAAAGTCACCGTTTGGATGTTCGTTGGATGGTTTTCGCATATCATGATCAGTAATGATCTACCGACTGGAAATGATCGATACATTTTCAATAGCCTCCTTTTAAGAGAACCCTAGCAGGAGATTTCTTTATCGCGCCAATGAACCATGAGCCTGGAGACATATAAAATCATCGTGTTTTGCATAGTCCTTGATTTCTCTGTTTCCCTGATTTTCCCGTTACTTTCTACCCAACATTCCTCATATGATTTCCAAGTCTCTTCTAATTTTCCCCGAATTTTCTTGGGAAAACTGGATTTTTCTTCGGATTTTATGGGCATCACGTTTACGCTGTTCATCTCATACTGAATGGACCACGAGAAAAGGTGCCAAGTTGAGAATTCTAATTAATATTATTAAAAATTTCTAATATTTTATAATATTAATATATAGTGTAGAACACGATTTGCGCAGGAACGAACGAGAATACTACTGAACTCAACTCCTAACCATGTTTCCATTCGGCGTTACTTAAAAAAAGGAAAAAATTGGAATTTCCTGCTTACAAGAAAAACCAGAGTTTACTTGGATCGAATTGCGCACTGCAACGGTTTTGGCGCGCTTCTAGATCGAGCAGTGATCCTTATTCCCCGCCCTGTGCCGCAAAGAGCGAAAATCCGGCATTGAGGAGCTCATATTTTCACACCGCAGAGACTGCCACTATGACATTTATTGTTGCTCTCCAATTCTGCCACTTAACTCAAGCAGATCATTATTTTTTCCATGAGCGGGAAGTTTAAATTTATTAATCAAAAACCGCTGTTCTTAGAGGAAGTTAATTTCAGTAATTTTTGTTGCGCAAATCGTGGTATGCGTGAAATTTTGATAGGAATAACCGTTTATCAGAATACTTAAATTCGTACCTGTCCACTGTGCTTAGCGACCTATACTTAGCGTACCAAAGTGAGATGCAACAATTCGGTCACCCGAGCGCAGCACAGTATCACTCAAAATTGAAGGCGAACTTAACGCACCGACTCAGTGAATTTTCATTTTTACTGTCCGTTTTCTTCCCCCTCCCCCAGAGTTTCAATTCCTCTCGATGAGCCCCATCAACTAGTATTATTCTGCCTGGGCAGATTTAAGCTCTGATGCATCCGATTTCATAGAATATGACAATCAAGCATGATGAAATACATGATGAATGGCATATGATAGCTAATTGTAGTAAGTGCTAAGAAACGCGAAAACGTCATTTATAATGAGAAATAACTTGAGCCTACGGTGGCTTACGGATTTACCATTAAGACTAGAAGAAAGGCTAGAGTGATGACAACAACTTTCGAGTAAAATTACGAGGTGCAAAGAGGGGCAAAGTATATTTTTTGGGTCCTGCTTTTGCGATTTTATTGAAAAAACTGACTAGGTCTAAGGATTAGTCTAGAGCAAAGATATTACGAAAAAGAATAATTTCGGCATGTAAAATCTTCAAAATATCCCATATTTACTACTCCTTTGTTTTCTTTATCGAAAAGAGAGAAAGTAAGTCAATATCCTATATTTTGTGAATCAGGTGCCCAAACACTTTCAGGTACAGCGAAACAACGTAAACAAACCCTTCAACACAGCATTGCCGCTCGGTAACTGGGATCGTGCTCAAAAGTGCTCCGCGCGCCGCACTTCCTGTGCTTGTCACATCTTTATTAGTGCTTCGATCGTGTTATTTTACACAAGTTCTCTCTAAAGTGCGTGTACTATCGATTCACGTCTTCAAATCGAACTTTTTCCAAACTTTATTTTTGCGATTTATTGCCGCTTAAATCGGGCAATGGGACCATAGTGCAGCGTTAAAGGGGATGAGGGATGACCCGTTGATAAAAGAAGGCGCTGAAAGGAAAATGCTTAGCAGGTCACCGTATCTATCACCAAGAACTTTCCTCCCAAAGGCAACATGAAGGCGAATAACCTCACTGTGACTTGAAATATTTGCACGACGTTAAGGACGCTGGGACGCATATTGCAATTGCATACTGCACAGGATGTTGGGATGCTAGGATCTATGGATACTCGAGCAAAATTGTATCCGCGACAATTTCGTTTATTTGACATTTTTCACGTAAACGCAGCAGGGCCGGATTTAGCTACTTGCCGCCCATGGGACGCCTGTTTTTTGCCGCCCCCTTCTCATTCGTTTTGAAACATCAATAAAAACCATCAAATGAACGTGCCAGCGGGGGAGGGGTGCATAAGACGCGTTTACTCGTGTTGAACACTTTTTTTGGGAAAGCACTGTCAACACTACAAGCAAAAGTTCACGGAACTTTGCGCAAAAGTTAAGTTCCGTAAACCTATCTTTGTCCGACAAGGCCTTATTCCATTCATAAGAAATGAACGAAAAAATTATGAAAGAACAAACAAAAAATGTAGATTAATGATTTTAACTTCCGTCGCCTCGCCGCGCAGACCGCACCGTGTTTGGCGCAATGCGTGCAGTATTCATGCATTCTTGTAGGCGCTATCCGTTTCACGCTGTCCGCAATGACCGCACTGTGTTTGATGCAATGCGTGAAGTATTCGTGCAGTCTTGTAGGCGCTAATATGTGTTACATGCCGATCGCCGCGCCGAGGGCTTCTCCTTTTCATCTCAAGTCCTCGTCATCATTTTCTCATTAAGTCGCGTCCGCGTTCCAGGCAAAATTGCGTGTTTAGTTTCTCTCTTAACTCGACCGATTAAAAGTTGCTGTGTCTTTTATCACTGAAAGACGGCAAAAGTAGAAATTACTATACTCTCAGAAAGTGAGAGATTTTGTCGCCTTTTCTCGTTTATAATTTATTTCTCTAAATCCGAATTTATTTTATATCTACATTTAAAAATATTGCAAAATTTGCCGCCCCCTATAGATTTGCCGCTATGGGCCGCGGCCCATGTGGCCATCCCCTTAATCCGGCCCTGAAACGCCGGCTTTCGGTGTAGACGTCCGGTAGACGACGGATTACATGAACTAATGGTGCATCCATCTAATAGAACACCCTTCACACGGCCCAACTTGTTTCCTCAGCGTATTCATGTCGCAGGAAAATAGAGAAATCGGGCATTTTATCAGATGCCTCGGCAGATAGTCAAATTTTGACGATTTTCCAAGTTTGGACTGTTCTCGACGAAAGGCTCTCGAGTTTCCAACGTATTCAGACAACAAATTCAGAAAATCTACACAATTTCCTAGTGTGTCCCTCTCTAAATGCTTCTCGTATGTTTTAAGTGTAA